TGAATAGTCTTTCTTTGGCACTACATATTGAAAGTGTCTGTATCATGGAAAACAAGTTTTAACCACAAAGGCTATGCAGAGTATGACTCTGCTGCCCAAGAGCACAGACCATGCCCATAGCAGTCACAGAGTTCCTCTTAACATGATCAGCCTTAGTCACTGTATCTCAGATCACATTTTCCAGTACCACTTTCAGATTTCCTTGGGTAGTATTTTGAATATTGTCAGCTTGGAAATTAACTGAGGATCATGAATATTTCAGTGATTTCATTGACAAATAGGTAAGAAAATCTGAGAGCTACAGCTCACAAACAGGACAGTCTTTCATTCATTTTTTTTCCTTTCCTTCTCTCCACGGGCTTTTTTTTTTTCAGCTTGAAGCTGGCAAAACCTTGTTTATAAGGACTTTTACTCTCAGGTCTCATGACCTGAAATACTACCTCATCATTCCAGACCAATTTGTGGTACTCATTTAGCAGTACGTCTGCTAGATACAGAGATATTGAAGTTAACAAAAAGCATGTATTTTAACTTCTAGAACCCAAGCTAAAAATGTAGTGGCCAAGCATAGAAAGTCTGTGTTTTTTTCCCAATGAAAATGAATAGATTGAGTTATTGAGACAATAAAGATAAGTCCCACGATGGTATTGTACACAACTTTGCTTTTCTTATTGAAGAGAACTCAGAAGCAATTGACAAAGTAAAATGAATCACAGCTTAAATTCCAGCCAGCTTCTCTCAGCAAATGGTCAATAGTCAATAAAGAGAAAACAGGCAATGCAGAAAATTATTCCTTCCCTCTATCTCTGATACCCATTTCAGGAGAGAGCACTCATCCCTCAGAGGGAGGAAGGGATGCTCTCTTGTACATGCAGCTATCATTGGTTAGCTTTCAAATTAATCCCACTCTAACTAGCCTATCCAACCTGGTTTTGTTACTGCAAACAAATGAAATTCAGACCCTGAGGACTCCTCATTGCCTCCATTCCACAAAATGTGTAAAATAGTCATGGATAAATCTCACTCCATTTCCTTACTACACTTAGTTGGTTTAGGAGCAGCCATTTAAGAAACTTATATTTTGCAAATCTGAGATAAACCATATTACAATAGAGAGTTATTTGGAGGTAACAGTGCAGTGTTTATTAGGATTGTGATTAGAACTGTCCAGATAGGTCTGGAAGGTCTGATTCCTGTTTGAAATCCTGGTTTTCAAGTTGTGATGCATGTGTTGTTTTCCATACCTTCCCCATTCTGTTATAACAGAGTCTTGGGCAACAGGGTCTAGTGTGAGGCATCCCTGCCCATAGCAGGGGCTTGGAACTAGACGATCTTAAGGTCCTTTCCAACCTTAACTATTCTATGAAAATGCACTCAGTATTTGCAAAGGCCAAGTTCTGCAGAAATAGAAGTAATTCTGCTATAGTTCACTCTGCTCCACAGAGCAGCAGAGAAAAGTTTTAATTTATGCACTATGAAGAAAGTGCTGATTTGGCTCTGTGGTTCTTGGAAACCGTCTTTGCTCTGCTATTTCCTGTTATTTTCTCAAGCTGTATATTTCAGATGTGAGCAGGGACCTACTCAAAATGTCTTTATGTTTGTAGTGGAATGACATGATTCCTTGGACAGATGTAGATGGGTGTTGTTTGCCAGTAAAAAGGAATGGAAAGCAAAAGCATGGCAGAAAGTTTTTTCATCTTAGTTCTGAGGGTTTGATGCTTAATACCAACACACCATGGTTAACAGCCTTCCCCAGTGCTGACTTCTCTTGAAGGCTGCATGCTAAATCTCATTTCCTAAGACCTTCAGCTCTTTGCCCGATTGCTGCTCCTCTCATCCTGAGACACATTTTACACAGCCACACAGTGAGACGGTCCCTGCTCGCTGTTGTAGTGTTGGCAGTGGCACCCAGCAGCTCCTTTCTCACAGCTCTGCTGCAGTCTGACAGTGAGAGGTTGTCTGCAGGCCAGACAGTGCTGCAGGACAAGCAACTTTCTGTCTGCATTAACTGATGATTCAATTTAAAGAGCAGGCATTGCCACTGTGTTGGTTTGAATGATTGTGGTGCTTCAGTGTTCGTTGACATTATGTAATTTATAGGATTCTCTGTGTGTTGGGAGAAGGGAATACATCACTGCAGTGATCTGACACCTCACCTACGTTGGTGACCTTATTTCAAACCTTTTTGGATGCCAAATTGAGTAAAGAGCTTTCAGACTCTGTGGATGACCTGGCAGGAGCTGAATTACTTTCCTCAAAACCATTTGTACTTTTTGTTTTGTGACCTTGGCAGGGAAGTAGTTGGGAAAGTTGTTCACATGCCATCTGCACCTGCTAGCTTTGCCATGCAGCAATAGGTCATTTCCTTTCCAAACATGACTGGCTCCTGATACCAGTGGGAAATTGGCAGCTCTTACATGAAAGCAGAAGATTCCAGTTTCCTCTTTTGGCTTTTCACTGAGATAGGAAGGGAGTTGTTGTTATGGTCCCAGTGCTCTGTGTCAGAGCTCTGTTCCCCACATAACTGCTTTTGCAGTCACTGAAAAACAATCTGTCAAAGGTATACAGCTTCATATCTTGTAGTGATAATTTTTTCCCAATATCACGGGCTTAATTCTAAACAGAACTGCACAACCTACAGTGGAAATATTTCCCTCTTCTTTTGTGTCTTGCTCTTTCTTCCTCATTTCTGTGAAAGAGTGAGAGTGCAGAATAAAGTGGCTCTCTGATGACAGGGCTTAAGAAACAACATAGTAGAGTTGAAGTGTACTTTTCTCCCTATTTCTTTGTCATATCAAAAATACGAGATGAAATGGCATTCATTGTTCTTTCAGCTCTCTTCTTACAGAAATGATGGGAATCTGTCAGATTTCTTTTTTGTAAGGGGTGTTTAAGGCAGCAAGGAGGGAATCGGTTGTGTTGGACGGGATACAGGCAATTGCTTCATCTCCAGCCTAAAGTATCATTTCTGCAGAGAACTGCAAAGGAGCTGTATTGCTGACAGTGAGGGGGTGAATTTTCTTTCCACTCTCAACAGTATAAAGCAGCTGCATTGGCTTTACAAGTGATTCAAAGATTTGCTCTCCCTCAAAGTTAGGGTAAATTGTTTTTTGCACCCAGTGTGTGTCTTCATAAATGTGCACTGCCTTTCTCCTCCTGTCAGTTACTGGAGGTGGAGGCAGAATCATCTGGTTTTGTCTGTGCTTTCATGTAGCATTATTAATGAAACAGGTAATCCTATTTGTCTTAGAATCAAGGCAAATATCTCTTGTGTTCTGTCCATCTGTTCCAGACACCAACAGCATGCTCATCACCATGGTATTGGAACAGGCTGGTACACAAATAGCAATCAGCAGTTATTAACATAATGTTATTACTTGGTCCATAAAACTAATATTGGCAGAGATAGACATCACTCACTGTGAGATGATAGTTCCTCAGCTGATGGACTTTTTTGTGCCAGAATATAATAGTATTTTCTATAAAAATCAGCAAAAGGATGCATTTTTTTTATTTCATGCAAGTAGCATAAATTGCCAGTCTAATCTCTATCAAGATTGTCTCTTTACATCCAGTAATTTACAACCCATTGTTATCTTATTGTAAAGCAGCATTCTTTAGAAAAAAAATCAGGTTTTTTTACATGCTTTACATCAAATAAACCACTGAAAGTTCCCTTTTTCCCTCCTTTCTCCCCCAGCTGTTGATACAGACTGATGCAGGAGTGGCTTTCTGCATGCAGAAAGTCATTTATGTCAAACTTGAACCAGACGAGTTCCGGTTTATTCAGCACACGATCTCCTTTGGTAGTGTTGGAGGGGTAGCAGGTGATTGCTGCCCACCAGGAAACTGTCACTCTCTGCACACATATTAAAGCAGTTAGTTCAATACCTTCTGAAAAGTGTAAAATTCACTCTGCTTTTCTAGCCTCTGGAAGGAACATGGACCTTTCAGACCAAGTTTTTGCAGCACTCAGCTTACCAGGGACGCACACTGCAGTCCCCAATATATCCTGAACACCCTACCAAATGTGGAGGCTCCTTACCTGTCCTTACTCCCCTTCATACATCTCTTTTCCACATGGTCAAAAGTCCAACTTCAAACATCTCCTTTTTGTTTGGTCGCTTTTCCTATGATACAATGTAAAGATTTTTGTCAAGTTGAACAGCCACACTTTTAAAATCTCTGCTATTTAAATTGCTGGTTAAAATGAATAGATTACTCTCAGGTGGCTTGTGCCAGTCCGGTTAAATGAATATTCCATCTATGTATAATTTTTCTTCCCTGCTTAATCCAAATACATTCCTTGGAGACCTATTTTGCAAGCTTGTCGACAGAGACTTCTCTACAGAAGCAAAATGGAGCCTTTCCAGATTGCAGCTTCACAGCTGCAGTTATAAACTATAAAGCAAAAGTGAAACCAAGGCGTCAGAGTTTCTAGGTTTTATATCCAACTTTTGCTCACTTTAGATGGCAAATTGCTGCTAAACTAACATTTCTGTAAGTGTTACAGTGTCCAAGCAAGTGCAGCTACGATGAAAGGGAACATCTTTATCTGAGCTGGTTGTGATTACATCAGTAGGCACAAGCAGATTACATCAGCCATTATTAGTCTTTCAGTGAAAATGAAACTTACCGGTTGTGATATTGGTTCAGTCTCTATTTTTATATCAATAGTTTAAAAAAGAACAGTTAACTACAATAATTACGCTTTAAACCAATTAAAAATGTAAATGGATTATTAAGAACATTGTTGCTAAATGAGCTATATATATGTAGAGCCTAACTGAAATGGTCAGAAAGGCTAACAATAATCTTGTTATAAAAAGAAAGGATCATTCCCTACAGTTTAGCTCTGCCTTGAACACTTAGCTTTTGGCCCCACTGTGGGAAGGAGTCTACAGTACCAGGTGACTTTCATATATGTCTAGATGCAATGAAGGGCAAAGAGCAGCATTTTTACCCTGTCATTCCCTTTTATCAATCTCAGTTTCTTTCAGGGCCTGCATGGATGTATGCCAGCCTGTCCTGCAGGATACAGCCCAGTGAATAGGAGAAAAAATGTGTTTGAACTTGGCATAATTGCAATGAACATAAAGGTATAGTTGGAACTTAGTCAGAACACTCTCTTCTCCCTTGCTGTCATAGGCCAGTATCTTGATTCTCTGCAGTCAGTTGCTTTGGATCAACGTTATTCAGAAGAATGAGTCATTTCTGGCTCAGCTTAATGGGTTTGTTGGGACTGAAAAAGCTAAGGCTGGACTATAGGCTGTACCACAAATTATTTTATGTAGCTCTTTTTATCATGTACAGTGACTGCCCACCAAAAGAAAATGAAGATGCATCACTTCAGCTTTTATAAGGAAGGTCTGTGCAGCTTTTGTAATATCCACAAATAGAAAGTGGTTACAGAGGTCTTCAGCTTTCTCTGCTTCTGGGGTTGCAGTGTACATCACAACATTACCTGTTGCCACTGCACTATTTCTCCTTGTCCTTTTAATTTGAGATAGGCTGCATCCTCCTCAGTAATCTTTCAGGTTTATGACCTGGATCATAAAATGTGACCACTAAAATAGGGTGGATGAGTATTTTGCAAAGTAGGATTTGGGGGAGCGTTGTGACCTGATATCTTCGTAGAACTGGCTGCCTCACAAAATAGCTGCTCTGAGGGGGGTGGGCATTCAGTTTGCCAAGTGTTAAATTGGACATACCCTAGAAAAAGTTAGACGGACTCCTCTGAATCAATGAGGGAGGCTGAGGTCTCTGATATGTTAATTACATGTTGATGGAAGGCACAGTAGTCCATTGCCCTTTCTGAACTACAGTATTAGTACAAAAAGCAATGAAAAATCATCGCAGCAGAGACTGTCACCCTTGTTCCCATGTGTGCTATATTTCTTCCATGGATACCAAATAGGAAAGCAAATGTAGTTCTTCTGATTATTTATTTTCTTCAAGTGCTGTCTCACATAATAAGCCTCTGTGACTTTCTGCCCTGCACCACTTTTCGATGCTCTTGATTTAGGTATGATATTAATATGTCTTTTGAACCATGTATTTTAGCAGCTTTCATATTCAGACGTAAAATCCCAGTTATTGAATGAATATTACATGGGGCAATATTGTGTTAGATGACAGCCTAATTTGAATAGTTAGTCATGTATTCAAAATGCGACCTTTTTTGGCATGGTACAAAAAGCATCTCATCAGTTAATGAACACAGGCAATGCATGCAGTGTGTAGGGAGTGATTGCGTTTAACTATGAATTACTCGATCTTTAAATAGCACTTTTTTTTCTTGAGATAAAAGGAGCAAATAATTTCAGTACCCTGGCTTGAGTAGCATTCATTGTAATTATTTTTCACCATGATAGCCAGTGGAATGTAAATAGTTTTTTAATTTCTCAATGGCAAATCTATAGCTCCTGGAATGATCTACCTTTTATATCTATTATATATATAAATTATATGATTTATCTCACCTTTTGTTTGCTTTTAGGGAGAAACCAGAGCTGCTTCATCAGTGCCAGCTCCACACTGTGGTTGGGCTCAGGAAAAGAATTGCATTGATGGATTAGTGCAACAACCCTCCCAGCTATGGAAGGGTGCATCTTACAAGAAAGTCCATAGGTGACTAATCAGCCAGACTGGTTATCCCTCACCCACAGTGGTAAGCAGCCTTTGAGGTCTGGGTATACCTGATATATTTTGGTATACCTGCAGCTCAGTCTAAATCTAAATTAAATTAAGCTAAGCACCTAAATACAGAATTTCAAACTTCACATTATATGCCTTATGAACAAAAACAAAAAGAGAAAAACCAGTTTCCACTGTGCATATTTTAGTCTTGAATCCTGCTTTTCTACCACTTTTCAGCAGTGCCCGGTAACTTAACACCTTTGCTTTCATGTTTGTTTGTTTGTTAGGTTAGTCATCACACAGTGTCATTTAGAATCAATTTAGCACCCTTCCACTGTGCTGAGTGATTCCAGTGAATAATGATAGCAGGATTAGCGAGCTACTAATTAAATGCTGCTGCCTCTTAGCTTGAAAATGAAACACCTCTATGGAATTTAAGAGTTTCTGGCTTTATTTAGGCTGTGTGTCTAAATAGGCTGTACCAGGATAGTGTAGACAGTACAATCTGAAAATAAAGTATTAAAACAGCAAAAAAGAAAAGAGGGGGAAGAAGAAGAGAGCAAGAGAGTGAGAGAAGGGAAACAAATTCACCCGGTCATAAAAATGTTGAATTGCATGGAAAATTTTCCACACTTTGCATGAATCCTGAGTACAATTTCCTAATTTTCCCTTTGTACAATGCAGATAAGGGGTTCATGTCTGTTCTCATTTCCACTCACAGGTGTGTCTTCAAATTTTTGCAAGTGGTAAGTGGTGCAAAATAGGATGTACTGCCTATTTGTTGAAGCCTACAGGTGTACCTGTTCCAGTAAAGCAGGAGCTAGGTTCCTTACCACTTGCAGACTAAAGAACCCATTGAGTGCTTGCTTCTCATATTGGCTTTACTACTATGCAGAGTTTTACCACTTGAATTCACTGATTAATGTTTGAAGCAGAATTAAACCTTTATATTTTTTTTTCAAAATCTGCTACCAAAAATCACAGTATTTCACAGTTCAAAGACAGTTCTTTGGTTTTTCAAAGACATTATTAAACTGATTGTACCATCCTCCTCATAGGATTGTAGTGGTATACGCTTCTATGATACAAATAATGCAAATGGTACAAATGACACAAATTATGAGCTCCTGTCTGAAATAATAGGAATGATCATAGAATCATAGAATAGAATCATAGAATAGAATCATAGAATAGAATCACAGAATAGTTGGGGTTGGAAAGGACCTTAAGATCAGCTAGTTCCTCACACCTCACACTAAACCATCTCACCCAAGGCTCTGTCCAACCTGGTCTTGAACACTGCCAGGGATGGAGCATTCACAACTTCCCTTGGCAACCTATTCCAGTGCCTCGCCACCCTAACAGTAAAGAACTTCTTCCTTATATCCAATCTAAACTTCCCCTGTTTAAGTTTGAACCCATTACCCCTTGTCCTGTCACTACAGTCCCTAATGAAGAGTCCCTCCCCAGCATCCCTATAGGCCCCCTTCAGATACTGCAAGGTTGCTATGAGGTCTCCATGCAGCCTTCTCCAGGCTGAACAGCTCCAACTTTCTCAGCCTGTCTTCATACGGGAGGTGCTCCAGTCCCCTGATCATCCTCGTGGCCTCCTCTGGACTTGTTCCAACAGTTCCATGTCCTTTTTATGTTGAGGACACCAGAACTGCACACAATACTCCAGGTGAGGTCTCACAAGAGCAGAGTAAAGGGGCAGGATCACCTCCTTCGACCTGCTGGTCACGCTCCTTTTGATGCAGCCCAGGATACGGTTGGCTTTCTGGGCTGCAAGCGCACACTGAAGCCGGCTCATGTTCATTTTCTCATCAACCAACACCCCCAAGTCCTTCTCCGCAGGGCTGCTCTGAATCTCTTCTCTGCCCAACCTGTAGCTGTGCCTGGGATTGCTCCAACTCAGGTGTAGGACCTTGCACTTGGCATGGTTAAACTCCATGAGGTTGGCATCAGCCCACCTCACAAGCGTGTCAAGGTCCCTCTGGATGGCATTCCTTCCCTACAGCGTATTAACTGAACCACACAGCTTGGTGTCATCAGCAAACTTGCTGAGGGCGCACTCAATCCCACTGTCCATTCAGCGACGAAGATGTTAAACAAGACCGGTCCCAACACCGATCCCTGAGGGACACCACTCATTACTGGTCTCCAGCCAGACACTGAGCCATTGACCACAACTCTTTGTGTGCGGCCATCCAGCCAGTTCTTTATCCACCGAGTGGTCCATCCATCAAATTGATGTCTCTCCAATTTAGAGACACGGATGTCGTGTGGGACAGTGTCAAACGCTTTGAACAAGTCCAGGTAGATGACATCAACTGCTCTACCCCTGTCCATCAGTTCTGTAGCCCCATCATAGAAGGCCACCAAATTGGTCAGGCAGGATTTCCCCTTAGTGAAGCCATGCTGGCTGTCACCAAGCACCTTGTTGTTTTTCATGTGCCTTGGAATGCCTTCCAGGAGAATCTGCTCCCAGATTTTGCCAGGCACAGAGGTGAGACTGACTGCTCTGTAGTTCCCTGGGTCATCCATTTTCCCCTTCTTGAATATGGGGGTTATATTTCCCTTTTTCCAGTCATCAGGAACTTCACCTGCCATGATTTTTCAAATCTGATGGACAGTGGCTTAGCACCTTCATTTGCCAGCTCCTTAAGGACCCAGCAAATGAAGTTGCTAAGCCACTGTGATGGTACCTAATCCTGAACTGACATCTGAAGGATTTTAAATAACAGTTATCAATGACAGGTCTGTAAGCTAGCCTCAGTTCTCTTTATCCTGTGCTAGGATGAAGATGAAGGCATTTGACCCTCTTAACATCCAGATCCAACGCCTGGGCTTTTTTCCCTTGAGCTCTTGTTGCATTTAAGGATTCATGCCGAATAACAATAACAAAAGATGAGTCCCATCTGGTTTGCTGTTGGTTGTTAATTTAATTCAGTGAATGACTACTCAGAGTTTAGTCTGGCAGCCAAGGAAGGTATGCAGTTATCAACATTACTGATAGGATAAACCAATTACATAAGCTTGTTTTCAAATCTCCCCAAGTCCCCTAATACTTAACAAAGTAAAACTCTTCAGTTGAAATGCACCTGCTTACAGAAAGATACAGCACCAAATAGAAGTTTCATTTAGAGCTTTGGGTAGACCAAGTGGTTTTGTTGCCATTTTTAAGCATGAAATATAGCATGAAACTGAAAAGACAGTACAGATAAGAAAAACACAGAGTTGTAAGAAAGCCTTTTGAGAGCTGTCAGAAAAACCTTTGAGCTTAGAAGGCTGTGGAAGCTCAAGCACTGAACAGCTCAGTATGTGCTGTGTTTTGGGGGTCTAGTTAGTGCTGCATCTTTGAGCTGTAACAGTATTTCTCAAACTGTGCGTCCAGCCATTGCCTTGCCAGGGCTTCAGATTAATCCTGTGTAGGGAGAGCAAAGTGCCTCTGGGGCTTTTCCTCATGAAGATCTGCACTTCCTTTCCTCATGAAGATCTGCACTTGTGCCTGGGTAGTGTGGGAGATGGCTCCTTCTTTCTCCCAGCATTTATAGCCATTGTGAAAATAGATGATTCCAGAAGACAGTCTAACACACAACTGCAGATGCAAATTTCATTGTATATGTCTGAGACTCTCTCTTCTGTGATACAGCTAAACTGTACAGGCACATGCAAGCAGTTCCACAAGCCTGCACCAGAATGCTCCAGACCAACTGAGATGGAGCTTACAAGGGAAAGAACAAAATGCCAAGGGGCAAGAAAGAGGAAAAAGCACAAAGAACAGTGAAAAATTAAAAATGTAGGTCATGGAATGTAAAACAACAACATCAGTGCCAGGCCATGAAACAGGGGGAGCGTTTTGTTGCTGAATAACATGTTGCAGGCCCCAAGTCAGTGTGCAACATATGAAGTATGGAAGATGCTGTGCAAGGCAGGTGTGCAAAAATAATGAGCAAACAGAGGAGGATTGGGAACAAAGGAAAACTGGGAAGAAAGATTTTGAAAAAGGAAGAGGTTAGAAGACAGAATAATGGCACAAAAGCTGGTATGGAAGAGAAGAGCTGAGATAGTAGAAGGAAAGATGAAAGAAGGTACTGCCACTGAGGATTTGATTTGCTGCTTTTCATTAGAATTGTATCCTTTTGCCACTTTTGGATGCCATAAAGACATATATATATATGAAAATACAAGCTTTTCAGCTTAACAGGGTAAAACTCCCTTCCAGAACTCTGGCATCAAAATTACCTGCAAAACCCAATGAAACAACCTTCAGTATTAAGTCAGCTGCCAGCGTTAAACAACATCCTGTGCCAAGCAGGGAGATGCCAGCACAACTAGATACATGCCAGAGTGTTTACATGATAACTGGTATGATGAATCAAACTCTTAAGCAAATAGATACCTAGGCAAAGAGCAGAGCGACCAAATTCCATGGTGCACTACCCTGCTATCTCTGCTGCATTGCAAAATGCATGAGTCAGAGGTAGAAGATAGCCCTTGGCAGTATGTGTGGAGAGTACTATGATCCCCACAAGACCCTGTGTTCTTACTTCCTGATGTTTTCAAGTGTGCATTCTAGTAGTATTCTGCCCCAATGTCTATGTGGCAGTCAACCAAGGTCTGCATTCATTAGAGAAGTTTCATTTACTAGAAGGAAACAAGTCCTGCAAGCAGGATATCAGATGCTCAGGAGACGGCAACCTCAGAGCCCAACCTCCTATTGCACAGTTGTGGTCCAGAGCCTGATCTGCCATTCTATAAACAACAATCAGGCCAGATTCTCTGCTGGCACAGAGCCACAGAAGCTCAGCTTGAGCTCTGTCTTCTTTATCTCTTGTAGCACTGAAGATTGTGCTTTAAAAGATGCCCAGGATATAACAGATGAAGTAAAGTGTACTAAATTCAACAGCAACCTTAAGTAAAAGCCTAAGCTGCTTAATTTATCCTTGGAATCATTTTACCACCGAGCTTTTTTTACCTTTCTTGTGGGTGCTGTCATAAATGTCCTGTGGGAACAGTGGAATTGGCATTTCTGGACGTTGAAATAGATGCAACTAAAGTAGAGGAACTGACAAGATCGTCTCTTGGTGTCTCTTACAACCTTATTTTTTAGTATGATTTTAGCAAATGTGTTCAGTTACTGTCCTAAGCTTGCAATGTTACACTGCTCCCACTAGGCTTGTGTAACAAAAGCCCAACTACCAAACCCCTGTGCTTCCTCCATGCAATACAAAATGTGGTACTGTCGGTTTTGCAAAAGGTTGGCAAATCAAGATCTGAACCATGGCAAGCATGTGAAGTAAAAAGTAAAGACAGATATTAAAGTTAATAGGTAGCCAGCTTATCATAGAATCATAAAATCATGGAATGGTTTGGGTTGGAAGGGACCTTAAAGCTCCTCTAGTTCCAACCCCCTGCCACGGGCAGGAGCACCTTCCACCAGACCACCCTCATAGTGAAGAATTTCTTCCTAATATCTAATCTAAATTTCCCCCTTTTCAGTTTACGGCCATTTCCTCTTGTCCTGTCACAATACGCACTTGTAAAAAATCCCTCTCCAGCATTCCTGTAGGCCGCTTTAGGTACTGGAAGGCTGCTAAAAGGTCTCCCCAGAGCCTTCTCTTCTCCAGGCAACCCACACCAACTCTTTCAGCCTGTCTTCATGGAAGAGGTGCTCCAGCCCTCTGATATCTTTTTGGCCTCCTCTGGACTCACTCCAACAGGTCCAGATCCCTCTTGTGCCAAGGGCCTCAGAGCTGGAGGCAGTACCCCAGGTGGGGTCTCATGAGAGTGGAGTAGAGGGGGAGAATCCCCTCTCTTAACCTGCTGGTCACAGTTGTTTTCTGGGCTGCAGGCACACACTGCTGGGTCATGCTGAGCTTCTCACTAACCAACACCCCCAAGTCCTTCTTCTCAGAGCTGCTCTCAATCCCTTCTCTGCCCAGCCTGTATTTGTGCTTGGTATTGCCCTGACCCAGGTGCAGGACCTTGCACTTGGCCTTGTTGAACTCCATGAGGTTTGCACTGGCCCACCTCTCCAGCCTGTCCAGGTCCCTCTGGATGGCATCCCTTCCCTCCAGGGCGTCAACTGCACCTCACAGCTTGGTTTCATCGCAAACTTGCTGTGGGTGCACTCAGTCCTGCTTTCCATGTCACCAACAAAGATGTTAAAACAGCACTGGTCCCAGTACTGACCCCTGAGGAACTCCACTTGTCACCAATTGCAGAGTTTTATGTCCTGCTGAAATAATTTTCTGCTTCAAATTTGGGTGACGGTTGCCTCGAAACTCCCATGTGCTCACAACTGGGCCTGGATTCTGAAGAAAGGAGCCAGAACAAGGTACCAGATGTCCTTCTAGGAGTTTCCTAAAAGAGATTTAGCTCACCAGAATTGGATGTCTTCTCCCTGAGTACTGCTATCCCTTCACATTCACCACATGCTCTTGACACTTCACCCTGACTATATCTGCTTGGCTTCTGCCTGTGATTGTAACCAACGTGAAACCTCTGGCTTCATTCCCCTCACTGCAGGATTCGAAAGCACAGGCTGTGTGAGGCAGAACTCAGAGGTAGAGCTGGACATCAGCTGTTTCCTGGTGACTTGCAGACCAGTAAGTACCACTGCACCATGTGGTTACCTCCCAGGTGTAAGAAGCAATATATAATAGCGGACCAGCTCTCTTAAACAGGTACAAAATACCATTAACACCATTTCCCTCTCTATACCTGTTTTTCTGACCTCAGATTACACCTGGGGATGGTGTATTGGTGTTTGTTCTGTGCCTCCCAGTGGTACCACAGGTCCATTGGCAACTTATTCCTTCCTTGTCCTTTACTTCTTAAATCAAGAATTAATAAGAATTTGCTAACACCATTTTAGGTGTGCTAACCATAGCACAAATGGCATGGTTATCTTGTCAGAAAAAACACTGGTAGCTGACAAGTCCTGCAGAGAGATTAAATACATGGGAGGACTGCGAGCAGTACGAGAGAGACCTGCTGCTACTGATAAGCTAAAATCAGTGTTTGTTCCCCAGCACTCCTGGTAGCAAACCAGTCAGCTGTAGTGTGCATTCCTGGTGCCTGACCTTCTCCGTGTGGCTGTAGTGCATCTCTTAGCCTTCGAGCTTCCCACAACACGGATCAGACTCTGAGAAGGGGGAGGGGAAGGGAAGAGCAAAGGAAAGCAGAAGGGAAATAAATACCTAAATTCTTTATTTTTTCTAGTTTTATACATAGTTTAGGGAAAAGGACACTGGCAGGGGACAAATGGTATCTGAACATTGCTGTGCTAACATGACAGCTTTATGGGAAGGCAGTACTGGGTCAGAAGCCTGATTCCCCCTACTTTTGGTTCAAGATCTGTTACACAGGGGAAAGAAAAACATTTTCAAGGTAAAAACAGCGGTAGAGTGGTAGAGAGCAGACCTGAAACCTTCCTGTGCCCTGTGACAGGGTGGTGTGGTTACATGGCTAAAAAATACTGACCATTTCACATGAAACAGGGGCAGAAGAGGATCGTAGAATGAACCCTACCCACCTCACTGCTTTCTGCAGGCTGCAATCCACATGGTCAGCTCCCTCACGGTCACACTGACAGCCCCACAGCAGGTGTTCAGGCTTCATACTGCATGCACAACGTGAGCTCATGCAGCTGTAACATTCCTCCTCCATCATTCATGCTGGTTTTCCTCCTCCCTCTCCCCTCTTATACCTCCCTGCAGCCACTGCACCTCGCTTCTATCCTGTGTCCTCCTGTCTCCTCATTGCTCAGAGCCTCCTCTGTCACACACCTTTTGTGGCTTAGGGAGGAGAGGGAAGGGAGCAGGGTCACCTGAGTGGAAGCAGGACCCAGCAGAGTTCAACCTCAAGAACACGAGTTAGCAGGTTGGGGTGCACAGGACTGGGGAAGGTGATTGCAGTTCAAGGTAATCTCTGCTCACGGCTTTTCCTGGGCTGCTCTGGTAGAGCACTACAGCCCAAGCCAAAGGAAATTCTGCATCTGATTTCCACTAAGAGGATAAAATCAGCCTCTGTTGGCACAGGCAGAATTCAGCCCTGAAGGTATATGAATAATGTTTCCTTAACTGGCATCTGATATTGCTCCTTGCATTACACTCCTATTAGCAAGAGACAAGCGAGGCCTCTCTGACCATCCAGTGGTTCATGATGTTCAAGACAAGCTGTGCAAACCCACTTAAGGAAGGAGGAGGAACAGGACAGAACGTGATCCATGGATTGTAAATCATCACTCCAGCTAGAAAACAGGCAGGGGTCCTGAGCCTGTTCATCCAGTTAAACGGGTCCATGTGCAGGCACTCAGCTGCAGATAACATCGGTGCAGCAGACAACCTCAACCTGCAACATGGCCAACAGGAAGCCCACCCTGCAGAGCTGAATTAAACCCGCTTTTTACATAGCCTTTACACACAGCCTGCATCCATGGGTTGCTACACCTGCCATGCTGCTGGTGCAGTCACACAGATTAAATATGCTCTTTTCAGACACGGAAGCTATTATTTCTGTGAGATGAAACAGCATCCCACAGTCTTATTAACCCGTGCCCTACTTCAGAAGTAAATCTAATTTGTGGTTTTCATAGTTAGCTAGAGCTGGAGTTGGTTTGTCCCTGTGTCTGCTCTGACTGTGCTGGATACATTTATGTAGCACCGTATGTGGCAGAGCCCTGTTTACTCTGGCCTGTAAGCATTATTCCTCACAACAGAATAAGGAATTGAGGTGGTTGGAGCTTTTTGTTTCACTGGGGAAGAGAGGAGTAAAAGCACAACTGTTACAAATATCCCTTCATAAAGCAAGTTTTGTATTTGGCAGAGAATGACGTGCTGTCTGCTGAGTGACGTTTCTCATCTGGGATATTCCTGCACATCTGGACACCTTCCACAGACTGTCTCAAGAGAGAGGAAAGAGAGTTTCAAAGGATTCATTGGCTTTCTGATGGCAAACATCAAACAGAATGGGTGGTGTTTCACAAACACACTACGTAATGGGGAAAGGGAAGTAGGATCTTCAGCGATGGCCACCACGGCAGCAGTATGTACAGTAATTTATATGGTGGATTCATCTGGAGATTATGTTACAGAACAAGCAATGCAAGAAAGCAAAGGAAACACAAACCCTTTTTTAACCAGTGCTCTATATTTTCAGTTATAGCTGGCACAGTTTATTACTTTTTAAGGCACTGAACATAACTATATTAAACCCATGAAGATGTGTGGAGTGTGAGTGGCATTTCATGATCTTTGTGGGGGGAAAACATCAGACAAGACTGCAATTTCAGTTCCTCTGGGGATTCAGCTCTGCTCTGTTGCTGTCGAGTTTGGTTATTTCAGTAGTCCCTGGGTGTACTTACACCGCTAGTGACCTGCAGCTTGATGGAAGGCACACCTGGATGGCGGGAGTGACACCGCCCAGCTTGCAGAAACAGAGCCCTGCACACACTTCAGTGATCTCGCAATCCACTTGCGGATTGTTCCTCCTGTCCTTTGAGCTGGATGGCAGATAAACTTCGGTCAATGTATTATACTATGCCCTTTGTAATGAAATAACATCAGATAATATGTATTTAGTGGGGATTTAAATTCCCGAGCTGATTACAAGGAGCTGTTAAGACTCATAAGCTTTTAGCAGTGCCCTGTGTTGAGTTGCAATGATGCCCAGCGCTGCAGCAATGTGCTCTTCCCAGTGGTGTTGGAAAGGCTGGGACTTTGTTAGGAATAAACCCGAGAACATAAAATGTCAGCGACACAACTTGATATTCAGCAAGGATTTAAGTGAAAACTATCTCCTATATTCTGAATTCTTCCAGCTTTAACAAGCTGTTTGCTCTGAGATCCCAGGTGTGTGACAATCTCTCCATGCACTTCCTAGCAGTAAAACGAGCCTAGCAGCATTTACCATGCCCAAAGAATGTTACAGAAGGTAACTAATTAATGCTTGTAAAATGCTTCTGAGAAGAGGAACGCGAAATAAAGGGATTGTTACTTATTAATGCATGTGGAGGTCTGAGCTCCTGCAGGTGCCCGGTTCACCACAGATGTCAACCTGCCCCTGTTTGATTTGAACCCCTCCTAAAAACGGAGGGGTTTCACCCCTCACCGACACGAAGGTGAGCGGTGAAACAAGCACCCGGGTTGTGCTGCAGCCGAAGGTTCCCCCTTCAGAGACGAACCCTGCCGGGCCCTCACCGCGCCCCACATGGAACCCGCCCTACCCCGGGCCTTTGTGAAGCGCTTTAACACCCGATCGCTGCGTGCGCATCGGACCGCATCGGGCCCGGGCGGAGGAGCCGGAACCCAGCGGCACCGGCAGCTCCAGCGGCCGCCCCGGGCACCCGCCCCGCGATGGGGAGGGGGTAACGGGCATGGGGGGGAGGCTTGGGCGCGGCAGCTCGCGCCACGCCACGCCCCGCCCCGCCCGCCGAGGCCACGCCCCCCTCCTGCCCGCGCGGTGACTCGTCCGAGCTGCCACGTCTTCCCGCTGACGTCACCGCGAGCCGGCTCCTCCCCAGCCAATCCGCAGAGCCAGCCGCCGCTGCCAGCCGCCGGGGCCCAGGGAAGAAAGGCGTGCCCGAGCGCATGCGCCGCCGCCGCCGCTAAGCACGCCGGGAAAGCGAGTCCGAGCAGCGCCGCCGAGCGGCAGCGCCCGCCGCAGGGGGACTCGGTTTCCCGGCGTGCCCCGCGGCCGCCCCCCGGCCATGTAAGCGCTGCTCGGCGAGAGGCCGCCCCGTTTCCTGGTTGGGCTCGGGCGGCCATTTTGGGCTGAGGAGCGAGCGCGGAGGCCGCGGAGCGGGCAGGGCGCCGGCGGAGGGGCAGGCCGAGCCGAGCGCCGGGAGAAGGCGGCAGCTGTTGGACGTCTGCATCCGCGGAGCGCCCGCCTCGGCGGCGGCAGGTGCCAGGCCGCGACCGTCCCCCCTCACAGCGTGCTCGCCGTCCCTCGGGCCGCGGGCCCCACGGACATGTCCAGCATGAATCCCGAATAGTGAGTGCGGGCCGGGCAGGGCCTCGCCGCGGCTCCGTGCCCGGGGGGGAGCGCGATCGGCGGGCAGCGGGGCGGGGGGGGAAGGAGGCGGCCGCCGGGCCTGGCGCAGGGCGTGGGGGGGGGTGGGGAAGGAACGGGGCGGAAGGACCGAGCCTTCGGGTCTGAAGGCCCCTGGCCACTGGGGGAGTGGTGCTGCGGGGGCCGTGGAGGCGCTAGGCCTGCGGGAGCCGTCCCCGGGGGTTGGGTTACGGGCGCTGGCGGGGCGGGAGGGGGTGGGATATCCGCACGGCGGGCTATGAAAAGTTAATGATGCCCCCGCCATAAATCGGCGCGGTGGGGCCGGTGATTCCGGCATCCCGCCTCCCTCCGCTGGAGCGCAGTAAGTACGGGAGCAGCGGACGGCGATTTTCCCGGGTCTCGATACTGCGCATCGGGGCCCAAGCTCCAACAAGTGACGGGGGGAAACCAGCGCTTTGTGAAAGCCGATCTTCCTGGCCGGTTTGCTGCTGGCAGCTTAGTAGTCAGAGGTCCACCCTTCACTTTAGCTGCAAGTCATGTGTGTGTCACATGGCTCTTGCAAAACACTTCTTGCCTATGTAGATTTTGCAACGCTGGGAGTTGATAATGAAACGCTCTTGGGGTTGTCTTGGCCTGAAATAGAGCTTGCCTAGAAAACCTGGTAACGACACAGGCTTTTTTCGAGGTTTGTTGTACCTCGCATTGCGTTTATGGCCTTTCTCTGTAATTGGCCTGCTCGGGAGTAGGGATGCCTGAGCTCCCTGGTCAATAGGTGTCTGTATGCTGTCAACTAGAAGAGCAGGGACTTGCCCACCAGGATGTCAGGGGCCATAAACCTTGTTTTGCTCACAGCTTTTTTGAGTGAATAAGGGGAGGGAGTTGGGATTAGTTTAAAAAGCACTTTTAAAACTGCTGTGCTCTCAACACTTTATGGTTGAAGGGTGGTTTTAGTATTTCAGATGCTGGCTTTGCTGGCGCTCCACTTTGGGATGGTGAAGCTGCTGTGCCCTCTAATGTAACTGAAGTGGTTATGGTATTCAAATGCACGTGTGGTATATGACATTACAGCTCTAGATACCCGTTACCTCTCATCATGGATGGTGCTTTCACAACTTTGGTCCTCAAACCATGCTTTGCCACACAGTTGAGGCTACTGACTTGTGTGGCTACGGCTTTTGTACTCAATGCTTATGGTAGTGTGGTTGCAAGCACTCTGGGCCTGTTAAAATCACCTGAAGAGCAAGCAGGAGTAGAAGGCCAAGCAGTCATTTGGTAGCGTGAGATTGTTGGGGATAGTTAGGAGGTACAGCCAGGAACTCAGGTTACATCTTGGCAAGATGACATAACAGCCTTCCTCCTGTGGCTCTGGAAAACACCAAAACGGTCACTGGAGGTAGTCAGTGGGTGAAAGACCAGCAAATAGTTGGTACCTCTGTGGTTGTAATGATAGTCAGAGTTAAAGTTTATCTTGCAGACTGGTGGGCTTTGTAGTGAAAAACTGCCAGCAAAGTGTTGGACCCCTAACAGTGTACAGAAATGGGTTGAAGAGGGCTTTTTTCATAGGTATTTTTACCCTTGGTAAAGCCTCTTTGCTTTCTAGACTGATGCAGAGAGGAGTTCCCTGAAGTGAGATACTGGATGTTATGAAGATAGGGAAAACATTTTGAGGGAGGTTCAGCCTTTGAAGAGTGCTTGTTCCTAGTGGTGAGGGCTGAGTCCTTGAAATGGAGGAAAAGCTGTATTTTAAGATTAATTTGTAGTATTAAATTGGTACTTCCTGACAGGATTGTGTCTGCAGGATGAGGATAGGAGAATGGGAAGGGTGTGGTGAGATGAACAGAAATTATCTGTCACTGTAATATGTGTACTTGGGTCAGTTTTAAAGCAGGAATAAGACTTACGGGATTACAACACTATTCCTTCTGTTACCTGTAACAGATACAGATACAGATGACCATTTGTCCCTTTAAAAGTTCCTTGTCTATAATGTAACATGTTCTCACTTCCTTATCGCAACTTCAGATCAGGCTATAGCCCCAAATCCTCTCTCCTGGACATACCAGAACTCTGTCAGAGGCCAGTGGGAGAGTTGGTTCAAAGTGAAAGACCTGCCTCTTTCAGTTTTCATACTGAAGTTACAGGATTAGCAGCTGTTGATGCAAGGGTTTGCAGGGATGGGTATGTGTTCTTAGAGCTTCCTTAACTTCCAGAGCTGTGGGGCAGCTTAGTGAAGTAGTTAATGCACTTTCCTTCAAGTGAAGGAGCTGAAGAGGGATGAATGAGATATTAGTGCTAGTGTTTGGAAGCTAAAATCTGGGAACACCTGCCCACCTGGCACTGGGATGTATTCCTTCTGCCTTCCTCCCCCCTTATGGTGTTTAAATGAGGGAAGTGTCAATATTGACTCTGTGGTGACTAGGTCATGTCAGGTTCGGCATTTCCTACCCCTTATGCAACTTGCATATAGTAGGCGGACTAGCATAAACACACTGGTGGGTGCACTAGCTAACAGCCAAGTGGTATCAGCAGTTAGTCTTGATCATTGTTCTATAGTGTCTGGATGTCATTCTGGATACCTCCTTCAAGGAGATATGAGGAGATGAAGTGTTTTTAAGAGTAAATTTGGGTGGTTTGCGTCCTTCAGAAGGGTTAGTGAATAGTGGGAGGGGTGGGGGGGGATGTCTTCTGTGATGATGTTCAGTAGACAAGAATTGAGTGACAGCTTCTGGGGTGCTGGAATCATCTGAAATTGTTTGTGTTCTCACCTTTCCAAACAGCAATCTGCGATGCAGAGTGGCTTTGTCTTCTGGATTTTGTTTACTTACATGAGCAGTGTGTAATCAGCCAGCTGTGCTTCAAATTTTCTTGGGTGGTAGAACAAAGACTGGGGATTTGAGGCTGCTGCAAGGACCTGTTCACAGTTAGTGTGCAGCTGACATAATGATTAAAGCAGTTTCCAGCAATTCTTTGTTGATTATGGATAACCACCTAGTCTTGTCTGCTTTGGCATTAAACCTCCCTGGCATTTAAAAAATCCCCACATCTAGCTGTACAAAAGGCAGTATCAGAGGCCCAGAGGTCCCTTGTTCTACACAGGTGTTCCCAGGTCTGTCCTGAATTTGACTTCCTGGTGTTCTGCTGAACTTGCTGACTGCTGTATGGGAAATGCTTGTAGCAGGAAGATGCTGCTTCACGGCTTGAGAATTTGACAGGGC